GCTTCTGGAAATCGCTTGCTTGCTTGCTCGCTTCTATAAGAACCCTAGTCTGTAAGCGTTCGGCGCGACTCTCATTTGCAGCCATTTTGGCACTCGTGTGCCTCCGGAGGCACCCCGAGAGTTCGCCCCTGCGCAGGTAAAACTTTGAAACTTTGGCCAATAAAGTTCCATCTTAAACTCCTGAAGGCTTCTGACATTTGCTCGCATTGGGGTATGTTACACCCTACTCTAAACTACTTCTTTTCTCTGGCTTTTACACGCCAGGAAGCAACACTCCTCGATCCTAATCATCACAGGGCCAGGGACCAGACGACCAGAGACCGACCACCCCCATAGCCCGGAGCCCACCACATTATCGACTGTCCAATCCTAAACTGCTGAGCTTGCCTTGCCCGCTCTTTCTCAGAAACCATAATAAGGGCATTTAGAACGTGCTTGCCCCTTACTCTCTCCACCTACAACCAATTCAGGGCTCTCTCTTGTGGCCCGAGGTCCCCTAACCCCCTGGGAACTGAGAGTAATAAACTATCTTTTCACAGGCCATGGTCTCCTGATCTGCTGGCCTTACCGTGCATGCATAAAACCAAAATCCTGGGTATATTTCACAGCAGTATAATTTAGCCCAATTATTAAAAATAACCAATTTTTAAACAGCATTGAGAAAAGAAAGATCTAAGTCAGATATGGTGCATCTGTGCTACAACAGTTTAACAAAGTAGTTTCAAGTACAGACTCAGATGCCCTGGCTCAGTAGCTTAGTTGGTTAAAGTGTCTCATCGACATGCCAAAGTTGTGGGTTCAATCCCTGGTCAGGGCACATACAAGGATCAACCAGTGGATGCATCAATAAGTAGAACAAGTCTCTCCCTCCCCGCCACCCACTTCCTCTCTGTAAACAAAGGAAAAAAAAATGAGTGTAGACTTAGGAGTCAAATATCAGCATCTAAATGCTGACTCTACCATTTGCTAACGATGCCTTAGTTTTCTCATATGAAAAGTGGGGATAATAACGGAATGCACCCCTTAGGGCTTCATGGGGTTAAATGGATTCAAACAAGGGGAGGTGCTTAGGACAGTGCCAGGTATACAGTAAGCGCTCTATAAATGTTAACACTACTGTTATGAACTCTGTAGCCATTGAAAAAAACGAGGGAGATCTGTAGGTGCTGACATGGAAATATACACAAAGAGGGGATCCCAGTTGTGTCAATTTCTTAAAGGAGAGAGATAGGAGCGAGTACTTTTTCTGGGAAAAGTTATACAACTATACCACACTCTGTCCCCCCAAAATAAGAAACTCTTAACAGTTTATTTTGGGGCAAAAATAGGGATTTGGATGAGATGTGAGGGAGACCTGTGTTTTTTTTATTAATACCTCTTATAGAACTTGAAGTTTTTACCATGTGTATTCATATCTAAAATCACAGACATTTCCATTTTTGGACGATGGAGTACTTCTCATTGCTCTTTATTGCCACCTAGGGGTTGCTGGGGGCATTGCCTGCTGTGATCATTATCTTGGGTGTTAACCTTCACTGTTTAATAAATGACCCCACTTTCCTGATTTAGTATCTTACACCAAGCAATGCATGACCTTCAACTTTCAAATTTAATGAGTTTGGCAATAATCAGACACATGGATCCCTAATTATAAAAGTCTATGGATGTTAAAACAAAACAAAATAAAAACCAAAAAATACCTGGTTTGATCTCCACTGAGTGATCAACCTTTCCAGCTTTTATACTTATAATACAGTGTTGATCAGCCCGACCTGATGGCTTGCCCCAAATAATCTCACCTCACCCCTCACCCACTGACCTCTCCACATGCCTACATTTTTAAATCAGGCTAGCTGCCTGCCTTTGAATACTGGTTCCATGACATCCTAGCTGTGTGACCTTGAGCAAGTCACTTCACCTCTCTGAGCTTCAGTTTCTTCATCTATACAATACAAGATAACAACAGTAGATCCCTCACAGGAATTACAAGTTGATATTGTAATTGGTCTTATACACTGGCATTAAATACAATGACAGGTGCGTAACAGGACTCGATAAACGAGTTTCACTGTTAACACCTACAGTCTTCAAACCTTGACTTACTGTTGCTTCCTCCAGGGAGCCTTCCCAGACCTCCTGACTCAGTCACGTCCCTCTCACTAGGTCACATTTCATCCTCCCAGCATGTGTCACAGATGACTATTGGATGGGTGTTTGTATAACGCACACTTTTTTGCCCATATTTTTTAGGGAAAAATAAGGGTATGCATTATACATGGGTATAATGATTACATATCATGGGTATAATAATCCCGTGAATAGGAGTTATTACACAAAAACTTGAGTGCGCATTATACACAGCAAAATACGGTATCTCTTTGGTCCCCGATCATAAGCACTAGGAGCACGAGTGTGGGCCTGGTTTTGTCCATGGTTTCATCCCCAGGTCTGCCACGGCCCCTGCAGATAGCAGCCGTGCCATACTTATTTACTGATAAAGAAACAAGTTAGAAAACGGAAGCCCTCTCAAAAGCGAAACGTTAACGAGGCAAAGTGTCATGAACCCAGGTTCTGATGGACCGGGTGACAGGAAGACAGTATGCGTAAAATGAACTGGAAAAAGGATAAACTATACACCCCTACCATTTGTCCTGAGGACCGGCCCCAGGTTTTATGATTATTTTTAAATCAAGGCCAGGGCCCCTGCTCGTCCTTCTTCTATGTGTATACAAATTAGAAAAAGGCACTCATTCCTTCAGGCAGGTGGAATCTCAAGACCCACTCACCTCCTCGGGTCAGTCCCGCCGTGCAGGGCACACTGCACAACCCCAGTTACTGGGCTGTCTCATTGGCTGAAAACCATAGAAAGCACCCACCGGATACCACTTATCTTCCCTGAGCCAGAGCAGAAGTCTTGAGACTTTCTTCATGCATGGAAGCATCTACACAGCTCAGATTAGGGGTCCACTCCTCTCGGGTTCTTCCTTATCTCTCAGGCTGTTTTGGAGAGAACCCAAAGTTCAATATCTTCATGTCCCAGGCTTCCCCACTGACTACTGCGAGCAAGAATAGCTCAAAGAACGAATACTGGGTTATCTGCTGGCCTAGCTTGAATCCCTTCTGGGCTCCTGTAGAACCCTTGCCTACCTGTATTACTGCCTTTCTGGGACTGTTTCCACTGCTACTCATTGGGGCTGGAACCATGTCTCATTTATTTTGTCTTTCAAAAAAAATTTTTTTTAATTACAAAAATAACCTGGAGGTAGAAAATTTTTCAAACAATAAACTAAAGAATGAAACTCCTCTTTCTGCCTGCTTCTTTTTTACAATCCCACTCCTATTCCCAGAGGGGGCTACTATTAATAGAATGTTGTCTATCTTTCCAGAACTCACCATTTGCAAAGATAATGATGCCAGTAAAAGTGCTGATGTTCATTCAATGTTTGCTAAGTGTCAGGTGCTATTGCTAGGCACTTTTTGTTCTCAATTAATTCACAAAACAAGCTTACAAGGTGAGTGCTCTTTTTGTTCCCCGTTTCCCAAAAGACAGAACCAAGGTAACAGTTACTAAGTGGTAAAGCCAGAATTTGAACCCTGGCTGGCTGACATCAGAGCCCATTCTCTTAACCTCTCCTGCTCTGCCCCTCGCTTTTGGGATTTGGAACATCATGGACACATCTCCATTGTCACCCAGGTGCTTCTCTTTCCTCCTTTTTAAAGACTGCTCAGTGTTCCATAAAAATGAATATATTTAATTCATTTGGTCATTCTCCCACTGACAAACATTTTAGGATTTTGCAGTTTTTCATTTCCTTATTCCAACAAATCTAAGATTTGACTGACTATATGAAGCACCCAGTTTCAGGGAGATTAAAATGAACATCTCAGAATTAATATATTATGGCATTAGAGACAATACTACAATAAACACCCTTGTGTCAAAATTTTCATGTGTGTATTTCTGTGGAAGTTTCCCAGAAGCAAACTGTGCACCAAAATAAAGATGCTTTGTGGTTTTTGTTTTGTTCGGTTTTTTTTTTGATAGGTGCTGCCAAATTCCCCTCCGGGAGACCGTAGTCACCGTGTCTCCCATTTGCTTATCACAATGTATAGCACTTTGCAGGCACTGAATAAAGGCTTGTTCAGTGGACAAACAGCATGACCAGGCCCAACAAGGGCAAAGTATTTTGAGATAACTCACACAGAAAATACACACATACACAACCAAGAAAACTAAGACAGTGCCTGACAGTGAGAATATTATTTTACTATGACATGTATCTGCGCTTCTTGCCAAAGTGCTGGACACAGTAAATGACAAGAGTTAATAAATGCATTTTATGTAGAACGTCTCCAAAATGTTGAAAAATTATCCAGCAAAAGGCTGAGCACTCCATCTTTTTCTAAATACAAAAATAACTCAGTGTTACAACTCCTCAGATATTAGATGTAAGAAGTTTCCAGAGATCTTATAGTACGTATTAAATGCACACTCCACTCCAGAGCTTCGAGGAATCATAATTTCTGGGGACTAGGGCCCAAAAATCTGCATTTTCAACAGGCACTCGAGGTGATTCTAAGGCACTCAAAGGCACTCTCAGTTAGTACATGACAGGGATTTTGGAAGAAGAGTCTCTTCATTATATTTGCCGTTTAGAACGAGCCCTGTGGCTGTAGTATGTAGAAAGTGGAAGTGTCAAACATAACCCAAGTACCTAATGGCAACACTCACCCCTAAACAGGGAGGGCGCCCCAGACGGCCAGCGCGCTTCTGCGCCCCCTGCCGGCCTTCAGCAACCTCGTACTGGGCTGCCCGGAACAATCTACTGCGACTGCGACTGCGCATTCAGGAGCTCCACGAAGACCGCCTCAGGGCCGTGAGCCCACGCCACTCCTGACCGGAAGCGGAAGTAAGGAACAGTTAGCCTCGCAAGCTTAGTGGGTCCTAGCCTCCTTCATTCGGGAGACCCCGCCAACTTGCTGAAGCCCCGGAAGCGGAAACTGCTTAGAGGTGGGGGGAGTGGCCAGGAGTGTGTTGGGTTGTCTTAGCGCTGCCCGCGTTCGCGCCGCAGCTGCCTGGGCAGGGAAGGCGCGATTGTGAAACTTCGCCCTGCCTGCTGACCTGGCTCAAGCCGGATTCTTGCCCGGAACCCTAGCCTGAGGGGTGTGGTACCCGGTGCTCCAGCCCTTTACTTGGGTCCTTTGATTCCCCCCTGATTCCAGAAGTCCCCTGTCCCTTCCTTGGAGTGAAGCCCGGCCCGGCTTCCCAGTGTCCCCTCAAGCCCCCGCCATGGGCAACACAAGTAGCGAGCGCTCCACGCTGGAGCGACAGGGTGGTCAGAAGACGCCCCGAAGGGATAGCTCGGGGGGCACCAAGGATGGGGACAGGCCCAAGATCTTGATGGACAGCCCGGAGGACGCCGATCTCTTCCACTCCGAGGAAATCAAGGTGAGGGGAGCTGGGGGACCCGATTCCATTGACAGATGTTGAGGTCTACTCGGCGCCCGCCACAACGCCTCTAAAACTCATCATTAGAAGTGAGAGGGAGGGGATACTTCACCCTCTTTACTTGAAAGCCCTGTGGCTTTGTAAGATCCCTCTTAGCAGTCCAGGAACCAGTGTCTAATTACCGATATGAGAAAGTCATCCCGAGGGAGGAGGGACTCACTTCATTTAACATCATTAAGGAGAAAGCGGCTCTGGGACAGAGTTTCAACGTCTTAATTAAGATCGTGGAGCTAGCAGTAACTGAACTCCAGTCTCAGCTTTTCTCCTAGGTATACTAATTAATTTCACTTTGAGAAATCTTCGCTCCCCTATAGGAAGACTGGCACTTTTTTGTAGAAGTTGGTTTTGCAAGTTTATTGTCCAGTTTGGAAATAAACCAAAGCACAGGAGTAAGTTGAGTTGAATGGCTGACAGCAGTGGCCAGGGGTGTTCGGTGCAGCCTAAAACTTTTGGTTCACCCTGCTTGCTTAGAGCCGGCAAAGAAAAGTCAGTCCACTTCTGCAGGTGGGTGGGTGAGTGAAGTGTTATTCTGAGAGCTGCAAATCAGCTTCTCTCTCCTGTTGTTTCAATAGGACTTAATATTTTAAATAGGCCAAAGCAAACATTTTTGCAGACCAAATGTGGGCTTCATTTTGCAGTCTGCTTGGATTTATCAAAAAGTCTGAAAATGATTCTTGACTCCTTACGGACAATGCAACAAAGTTTAGGGGACATGAAGGCTCCTGGCCACCCATCTCCAGACTACATTTCTCTGTGAGCACTCCACCTGTATATTACTCATCACTGACCATTGGGTGATCTCATTTACTTGGAACTCATTCTGACTTTACTCACATTTTTTTTCTCAGATGTTGGGCTGGGCGATTTCATTATTACCTTACATTCTCACTTGGATCTTGGCTATGAAGAATCTGATTTTACTTGGCTTTAGATCTTGTGATTTGAACTTGTTTTCTGAATCTTTTGAATTCCTAAGAAGCTGTGTGCAGAGTGAACTTTGAAATCTTGGTTCTCCAACAACTTGACATTCCTTCCCCCAGTAATCATTTTAGCCCGAGGGTGTCTGTTGAAGACATCAGAAGAATCCAGGGACTCTCTTCAAGAATTATTTGTTCTGCTCCCATTCCAAAGCTTCTAAAAGAAATGCGTAGCTTCCAGATGGTCTGTGGGAAATGATTTTAAACAGTGTCCATTTTAATTTCCTGAGAAGTTACTGAAGTGATGTAGCACACACACTGGATTGCCCCAGATAGCAAAAAAAAAAGTCATGGATTATTCTTTCAGCCGCACTAATTTACCCTTTTGGCTGCAGTTAGTCATCACGGCCCCAGCGGGTCTGTTTCCAGTCCGTTCTTCAGTGTGCAGACCTTGTCAAGCTCAGACAATGCAGGCATCTTTTAACAAACGCTCACGTTAGTGCTTGCAAAGCCTGTTCCACTCCTTTCAGGGTCTTTCCCAGGCTGGAACTCCGGCTCTTTCAGTCTTTGGCCTATGACTAGGGAAACTGTAACAGAGCCAAAACCACATCCAGTTCACCCGGAACTGGAAATGCTCATTTCACTCCAGAACACCCCAGTTACACGTCGCTTCCCGCACTAGGAGTTACTGTTTACCATCCCGAGGGCCGGTCTCTATCTTAGCCGTTTCTCCCCACTGTCTGGAAGGCACTCAGGGAATATAGTTTTTTTCTCTTCCTCAGAATCTGGATTTGCCAGTTTTCGATTTCACAGCTCTGGAGTTGTCCTAATAAATTTTCATGTACTTCAAAATCTTAATTAAGGGAGGAGAAATGACCTTTATTAAGCTAGTCTCGAATTCCATCTGGACTTCTTCCATGTGAGTTTTACCATTTCTCCTAGAATGCTAATGTAGCCCTCTGTTAATAATAGCACTAATGGTGGCTAGTCATTTTTTAGCATTTACTGTGTGTCAGGACACTCTGAAGAGCATTTTACTTGGCCTGTCTCGCTTCCCAGCGATCTGAAATTGTTATTTTTACTATCTCCATGTGGCTGGTGGGGAAAATGACAGTACAACTAGTCGTTTTTACTGGGCCTGAGTATGATCCTAGGTAGTAACAGCTGCCTCTTCAGAATGAATTGTCAACGTGAAGGTAACTGAGTCTATAGGGAGTTCACTGATGACTTCCTGTCCCTGAGTCAACTGCTCTGTTTCTAGGCTCCAGAAAAGGAGGAATTCCTGGCCTGGCAGCATGACCTGGAAGTAAATGACAAAGCTCCTGCCCAGGCTCGCCCAACCGTGTTTCGATGGACAGGGGGTGGAAAAGAAGTGTACTTATCTGGGTCCTTCAACAACTGGAGTAAACTTCCGCTCACGAGAAGGTAAATTGCCTGGGAGTATTCACGTGTTGTCTTGACCCAGGGATGCTCGTTGCTGAGTGATCTCTGGATGAAGAGAAAGGGACATTTTCATAATACGGGTGCTGAGTGGGAAAATACTCTTGCTTAGTAGCTCATAGGGTTCACTTCTCACACCTCCGCATCTCTGGGTTCAGGACGCAGTTGGTTACGAGTATTTCTATTACAAGCATCTTCTGTTCAGAGATTCAGTTGCGTGTGTGTTCAGGCAGGGCTTCTCCTTCAGAAACAGGAATCTGTTCCTAGTGCTGTAGAGAAAGCACCCAGCTAGGAATCTTTAGGACCAGCATTTGAGTCCACAGTGGCTGAGCTAATCTGTCATAACTTGGGAGCCTCAGAATCCCCATCTGTAAGGGAATGTTGGATCGGACGATCTCCAAGGTTCCTTCTGCCGGGGGTTTTCTGTGTATTACTTTTGTTTGAAAGGTAACGGGTTGTGAAGGCATCGTGAACAACACGCAGTAAAATAGTCCATCAGGAACCCTAGTGTGGACCTCTGTCTCCGAGTGTCAATGAGAAAGCACCCTCTCTAGGCCGGGCCTGAGTAGTGTCAGGAGTCCACTCCCTCTCCCAGGGTAATGCTGGTGCAGGGGGTGGCCGCTGGGCACAGCTACAAGTCACTTCAAGTCAGGGGAACAAAACAGTCAAATGAAAGAGGTTTTCTGGAACCTTCTCCACAGTGCTGTTTGTTCAGAGAACTATTTGTCGTGCATCCTGTTAAAGTGATCCCCCTCCGTGCTTGTCGGTCTCTCATGGCCACCCTCCTGGGCATGCAGCCTGCCAGCTGTTTACGTGCAAGTTGAGAAGGGCAGACGCCTGTCAGCTGACCTTTTGAGCAAAGGGCGTTTTCAAGAAAATGTTGCATTCCTGCTTCCTTGTCCATCTCGTAGATTAAGATTACTTGAATTGTGGAATTGCTTAAGAATGTTTATACTCCTCCGGTGCACATGGGAAGGTTTTGTTTTGTTCTATGGCTGGTTCTGTAAGTCAGCTGAGAGGGCATCCCACCCGGCTGAGAAACCTCTGCTTCCTGTCCCTCCCAGCCACAATAACTTTGTAGCCATCCTGGACCTGCCGGAAGGGGAGCATCAGTACAAGTTCTTTGTGGACGGCCAGTGGACACACGACCCTTCTGAGGTACTCTCCTCCTCCTGCCCTTTGTCCTGCTGGTAGAAGTCCCTGTGTGTAGCTGAGCTAGATGAAACAGTGCTGGTTATCAGACTGTTGGCGAACTCGACCAGGAGGACAGGTTAGCTAGCCAGGAGCCCAGCCCTCACAGCCAGGAGTTCTGAGTCCTCTAACAGGTAACCCCAGAGACCTTCCATGTTATGATTTCCGCCTGTCTGTCTCTTCCCAGCCGATAGTAACCAGCCAGCTTGGAACAGTCAACAACATCATTCAAGTGAAGAAAACCGACTTTGAAGTATTTGATGCCTTAATGGTGGATTCCCAGAAGTGCTCCGATGTGTCTGGTACGAACACGGTTATTTTATGCCGCGTGTGTGCCTGTGGGTCTGTGCAGGCCAGAAATACTGTTTCCTTCTCCTCTCCCTCCTAGGCTCAGGCTGCCCCTGTGGGTGGACGTTCAGAGCTCCCTGAAGAGCCACAAAACTAATTCCTAATTGTGTGGAGTCAGGTTGTTGAAATCTAGCCCCCAGGGAGCATTATATCATTTGGGGGTGGGGGCATCTCCAGGACTCAATAGGTCTGCTTGGCCACAGAGAGCAGACCATTGAGAAAGAACCAGAGCTGTGTCCCCTGCCAGGGGCAGGGCCCAAGAGGCCCGGGCTGTTTCCTTGGGTCAGTTATGAGCGAGTGCTGGGGAAGCCTGCCAGCTCCCTGCCTGCTCACAACCGACTCAGGTGCCTGGAGAGTTTCAGCCTGACAGGTGATAAATGGACACCTCCCTGACCTTGGCCATCACTTGTGTGGTACATTAGCACCTTGTTACAGGAAAAGGAGGCTCACCACAGGAAATTGGCTGCACAGCCCAACCTCCTCTGTACAGTCTAGTGAAACTTGCCCATCTTTCAAGAGTCATCCAATCGTAGACCTTTGAATCAGTTGCTCTCCACTCAACCACACAGGAAGAAACTACCAGGAAACACAATACACACAGTTCGGGGGAAAGGATGTGCTGTAATCTGAAGGGTCAGCGGCAGCTGCACTGCAGGGTTTCAGCAGTTCTTGCAAAGGGTCAGGCCCTTCCTGGGCCCTGCGGGCGGCAGTGAAAAGGTTCCCCAGACTGTGCCTGCCAGTCTGAGAAAGTGGATTCAGTTCAGTTCGTAAGATGATTCTTCATTGTCCCCTGGCCCGACCCGGCGGTCCTGTCACCAGGATCTCTTGTTCTTGTCAGTTTAAAAATGACAGCAGGAAATCCACTGGGGTGGGCTTGCTGTGGCCAACGACTCGGGTCGTCGTTGAGTACGATCTGGAAATCTGAGCATCACGTTCTTCTGTCTGTCTAGTTCTTCTGTCTGTGTAGCTACCAGATCTTTTAGAGGAACCATTTCTTCCTTTCTCAGATAAGTCGAAACCGTCCAAATATCCCCTACTTACTGATAAATGTAATTTTGAGCCACGTACTGAAGCTGTTAGTCACATTTTCACAGCAAGACCACCTGAGGGTGGACGACCGATGCCTCGCTGCTGGCGAACCCACTTCAGGCCCTCTGTAGGCTCTCATGTAGACATTTCCTTACAGTCCGTATTCACCCCCGATGGCTCAGTTTTCTGCACCGAATGCTTCTATTTCCTGCTGCGGTGTGGTTGGGTTGTGTGAGGGGAGCCTGTTCCCTAGGGAGTGATGGTGAGGGAGCTGGCCACACCCGGCCGTGTCGGGTTTATTCCAGCCAGCCAAGGATCCAGCGACCAGCCCCATCCCAGGTGTCCTTTGAATAGCAGCTCCGTCCCTTCTGGCTGGCCAGTGAATCGCTGAGTGAGCTGCTTCCTACCTCAGGAAGTACCACGCTTCTAAGGCTGCTTACCACGTCTCTGTAATGGAGGCGCCCGAACAAGAGGTTGAAAGGACCCGGGAGTGACAGTCAAGCGCCTTTAGAGACCGGGTTTTCAGTTTTGTTTTGAAATGTGCGGTGTCTTCACCGCTGCCTCTGTATAAACAGGCCGCTTTACCTTCTGTTTTGTTCTGGCTGGTGGTGCCTGTAACTTGGGCTTAGCTGCGTGCGCCTCACTTGATGCCTTGAGCTTCTTTGCAGCATTAGCCAGCCCAGCCCAGAGCGAGAAGCAGCTTCCTCAGTGTAGCAGGTCCCATTCGGCTTTTGTAAACAGCTTCCTTATTAGTCCGACCCAGGCTCCCTGGCGTAACTGCTGCTGAGTTTTATGCCAGTCACCCAAATTCCAGCAGGGTTTTCTCACTGCCTCTGTTTGGGGCCTGTGTGTCCTCCAAGAGAATAGGAATCTGTATCGAGGGAACAGGAGCCAAGCAACACTAGACAGCGCTGCCAGTGAAATGAGACTGCTCCTCACCTGCTAGTTTTCAAAGTGCGTGCCCTGTCACTGTCTCCCACAGAGCTGTCCAGTTCCCCACCGGGACCCTACCACCAGGAGCCCTACGTCTCCAAACCAGAGGAACGGTTTAAGGCGCCGCCCATCCTTCCCCCACACCTGCTCCAGGTCATCCTGAACAAGGACACGGGCATCTCTGTGAGTACGCAGCTGGTGACAAAGCGCAGTGTCACCCGTCAGTGCTCACTGCTGGGTCCGCCTCTGCCCTGGTAACAGGCTTCTCGCAAGTTGCTCTCGAGTGTGGGTACTGCCTCCCCGTCCAACAGAGCTGGTCTGAACTCTGCTTCCTTGCATTTCACTCCTGCCTCAGCCCAAGCCCCGATCCTCTTAAATTTCATGACAAAATATATAAACTACCCCTTCTCAGTAAGCTGTGTAATGGAATTCCTCCTTTGGCCTCCAAATTTTAGAGTGAGTTTTAATCACCGAATGGCTTTCAGAAGCATGCTTGCTCTTGGATCAAAATTTGGGGTGTCTGGGTAACCCACTGGCTGTGGGAGTCTCACATTACTCACAAAAAGAAGTGGAGCACTCCCGGAGTGCCCAGGCACGCGTGTGGCCTGACAGCCCAGGGCAGCTTCTGCCCCACACCTCTTCTCTCTTGAATCAGCGTTTATAAAATCGGGGAGTGGTGTGTTGAAGAAAAGAACCCAATTTCCTGGTTTCTTAAAAAGTTGGAAGGCGAGCAACATTAAGTGCCAGACCTGTGTGAGCCTCTGTGGAGGAGCAGTGCCCCTCCCCCGGTTATCCATGTCATCCACGGTCCCTGTCTTGAGCCCCACAGACAGGAGTTGGCAGCCCACCGCGCAGGCGTGTTCCATAGAGCACGCGTCCTTCAGCTTTCTCCGCAAGTGTGCCCTTTCTTCCTGCCCCTCCTTCAGTGAGACGACAGAGCCATGGGCCATACCTTATAGATAGAGGCCAAGGTCAAGCCTGGCCAGAGACACACCAGTGAGCCCAGCACGTGCACGGGGGCTCCCCTTAGTGGGAGCATGAGGCCTGGACTCCTCACCTCCCCTGTCATGGTGGAACAGGCCCTTTTGCTGCCTGACTTAGGAGGAAGGGGCACGAGGGGCCACCTACTTTCCTTTGCTGCCCGGTGCTGTGATACAAGGGGAGGTCTTCTTGATTTCCGAACCCTAAATCCTCTCGTCTACTGCTCTCCCCTCACAGTGTGATCCAGCTTTGCTTCCAGAGCCCAACCACGTCATGCTGAATCACCTTTACGCACTTTCCATCAAGGTAACGAATGATGTGTTTGTTGCTCTAGAGATTGGGATTCTCAAAACATGCTCGAGGCCCCCCAGCCACAGAATTTCCCAGAGTTCCCATCTGAAGGCCCTGCGGCTCCAGCCCTGAGGGCAGGCCCAGGAAACTGTCTGTTAAGCCCCCCTGGTGATTCTCCCGCTGTCTGAAGTGGGGGTCCCTGGTCATTTGATCATTTCCACCCTCTCTCAGGATGGAGTGATGGTGCTCAGCGCAACCCACCGGTACAAGAAGAAGTATGTCACCACCTTGTTGTACAAGCCCATATGAGGAGCTGCGAGCCAGCGGTGGCCCAGGGAGCAGTGCACCGCCAGCTGCACGCGTGCCTGCCTCCCGCCGGAGGGAGTGGACTGTCACTTCCCCGTTTCACACTCTCTAGAAGCCATTTCATACCCTCCCCAGTCCTCCCTGCAGGTCTGCTCCAGGTCCAGCAGCTCCCGAAGCGCCTCGGTCTGTGGTAGTCGGCTCAACCCCCAGCGACCGAGAACGGAGTGGAGGGCAGGCGGCCCGCAGCCGCCCCGCAGGGCGAGAGGGGCACAGCTCAAGTACACGGCCACCGAGCTGGCCGTGAAGATTTTTCTGAAGCCAAAAACAAACACTAGCCACTTTGGTAGCAAAAGTCTGGGGAGCAGGATCCAGGCCACACAGAATTTCTAATTTTATGTCTGTTTTTAAGGCCATCAGCTTGTCCCTGTTGAGGCCTGGCTGTGGCACTAACAAGTACAACGTTGGTGTTCTCTGTCCTTTGAAGTCAGAGCCATCTTGTCTCCTGTTCTGTGCTCCAGTGAGGTCTACTTTCTATAGAAATTAGAGCCTGTCTGAGTTCCAGGGGAAGTTTTACAATTGTTATTTACGTTTATGTACACCAAGTTTCGCTTTGTTTTTAACCAGAGGTGGCTGACTATACAGCCCTAGGCAGTTTTCTACTCGTCCCAACTAGAATATAGATCATGTGCCAGGCTGCTCGGCAGTAGCCTATTCTCAGAACAGACTTTGGGAACCTGCTGCCGGACTTCTCCATTAAGCCGCGTGTTCCTGCGGACCGGCCACAGTTAGCTGGGAGGTCAGCCAGCTATTTCTTACCAGAACGTGGTGATGGTGTTACCATGAAAACTCCGGAGACCTGGCCTGTGCCACCTTGCGCAGGACCTCTGCCCGCACCCGGCAAAGGCCGTAGCAGCTGCTGTTGCTTATTCCATAAGGAACTTAGAACTCGACGGCAGCCTTCTAAATCTCTGTCAGGAAGACATCCTTTGGACCAAAGCAAACTTCTGCACTCGGCTTAGTTTCCATGGAGATGCCACAGATGTTCCCATTAGTGCAGGTTCCTGTCCCCAAGTCAACAGAAGCTGTCATTGTGCCCTCTGTTCCTGCTGGAGAGGGAGGGACAAGCTTCCTGGTTTCCAGTCCTTGTTTGGTAAACCCGAATCTGGGATACTCTGTTTTGCTACTGTTTTCAAAACACTGAATTGTTAGCAACTTGATATACAAGTTTCAATAAAGCTTTTTAAAGATAATGGGACATGCACTTAGAGAAAGCTTTGATTTTTTTCCCCCCAGTTTGGAAAAGACTGGAATTCTTCCAGAGGTTTATTCAATAACCTGCTTTCCCAGTGTTTTTATGTCTTGGCACACCTTGCGAATGGTACCATCCAGGGCATGCTGGGGTGGGGCTTGGCAACCCCAGGGCTCAGGGCCATTCCCTGATGCGCTGCTGCTTCCTCACAGTTTGAAAGGCTGTCAGTGGGCCTGGAAAATCGAGACCCTTTGAACAGCTCAGTCAAAGGGGAAGCCTAAACTGCTGCTGGTTTAGGCAGCTAGACAGCACCCCCAGGTCAGAGGTTTTGCTTCCTCTAGCTCATCATGCGCCGTGAGGAAGTCTGGGATCGTGACACCTGTTTGGACACCACCAGGACATTCTGGAGTCGGCTGTTCTCACCAGCTGAAAGGGGCTCTCCCTTGTCCCAGAAAGATGGAAGGGTACAGGTGTCTCTTTGACAAGGCTCCCTTCCCAGGCACCAGGAAACATTTCAGTGAATTTCAGAGCAAAGGGAACCTCTGGGGCAGCTGTTCTCCTTGAGGAGGAGAGTAGCTTAGAAAGCATTCCTAGTTGGGAAACATGCCGTCTCACACTGAAAATTCAAGCGATGTGGGAACCCTAGATTTTAAGGACCGTAAGGATTGTGAAAAGTAAAGTAAGGAAACGTGCAAAAATCCTCTTTCCAAAACTATAAATATTTTTAAAAACACAATGTATTGATAATACACAGCTAACTTCAAAAACAGAGGGTATATTCAAACACCAGAAACGAAACCATCGCTGTGTGGGTGGGCCTCCAGGGCTGGGGTCTGACACCCACACCCAGCCAGGAAACCCCCACATGACTTGGGGGGCTTCTCAGCACTGCCCTTCATGTGAGCAGGATGAGAGACTGGCCGAGGGTCAAGCCGGGGCTCGGAGCCATCAGACCCGGGCTGCAGGGGAAACAGCACAAAGTGGGAAAATGCCTGCAAACTGGCTGTACCCACAAAGTTCAGCAGGAGCCACGCTGAAAACCCAATGTAAAAACTAATTTGGAGCCAGCAAACCCGGTAATTGTCCCCCACAGCCCGGGGGCCACCCCCAGAGATGACTGCCACAGCGGAGCACAAGTGCCAACCCCCAAACACTGGGACGTGGTGTCAGCATTTGCCACAGCTGTTTGTGTATTTAAATGACTTAATTTTCTTTAAAAAGCAACTGGAAAGGAAGTCAGTCTCCTGTGGTCCTGGAGATTGCTCACAGACCCAAATGAAAGACTTTATACCCAGGAGGTAGGCGATGGAGATGGTTTCACAGATGTGGAAGACAAGGACCTGCGTCGCCCGAATCCCAAGAGCAAGACCGCAGGTAGACCTGAGGTGTCCGTGACCCAGGAAATGTCTCCTCGGTTAGCATTCTGATTGTGGGTGAGGACCGGTTACATGGTTAGTTCAGACTGCTTGTGAATAAAGGTAGATTTTTCCCTTTGGAAATCTACAGATGAGTTTATGGAGGCAAAGGTAAGCCTTTAAATTACTAACATGCACAATGGTATTGCAAAATAAAATAGAACCATACATCAACATACCAAAACAAAAGGTCAAAGGCCCCCGGCAAGGCCACTTCCTTCCCTCTGGCTCCGCCCTGTGGGTGTAACCGAAGACAATAGGGCTCCAAGACGGGCCAAGCCAGACGTCACACTGGAGTTGGCCATTCGCCCAGCAGCCCCTCTCAGAGTACGGGCAGGACTGAGATTAGGGACAACCAGTTGGGCTGCTGACTACCTAGGTGACATGGAGCAAATCACATGACCTCTCTCAGTCCGATTTCTTGCCTTGAAAGAATGAGAGCCTAGCCCTAGATGGTCTCTAGGGCTCATTTCATTTCACACTTCATTCATTTCCGGAGCCACGAAGCCTTTACAACGTGAGTGGGATGTGTGCACAGACAGGAAGTTGAGGGGCCAAGAGAAGAGCTAACACCTCAAGCTCGATGAGAAGACCGCCAAGGCTCCAAGGGCCAAGCCTCACACCCAGGACATCAAAGTGATCCCATCCACAGCCGAGACGCCGCCATTTTAGAGAAAAGCAAAATTTCCTGTCCTTTAGCTCAGCAAATGAGCCCGGTTTCATTTCTAAGCATGCGCTCGGTTCTGATGCCTGACCCACCAATGTTCACAAGTGGTCTGAGTGAGTTCGGGAAGACTGAAGGCTGTGGACCACTCAGATCCACACCCAGCTTCGGAGCAGCCCCTCCTTAGCCCCTTTCTTGATCGGTAAGTGCAGAAAAGAACACTAGACAATTGTCATTGTCTTCAGGAGAAAACAAGGAAGCTAGGATCACACACACATTTCTTCTAAAACCCAACTCATCCCAGCTAATTCTAAAAATAGCCGGAAGGGCTCTCCTAAGAGTCATCACTGCTGTGAGCCAGACTCTTAAGGATTCTCAAAGCTGGGGCCCAGCCCTGTCCCTGGGATGGACCACGGGCTCTGCCAGCAGGGCCACCCCCCACACCCACCTGGTATTTTGCCTGGATGAGGATGCTGGCCCTTCCCACTCCCTTTTCTACTCTCCTGGAGTAAATTCACTCACCTCACCTGGAAAACTCAAGAGCAAGTAAGAACGAGAGACAGTTCCTGCTGCATGTACCCCTGGCCAACCTGTTTTCCCTCTTTGTGGTTTTTCTGAAAGACTGCCTGAGTTAAGTCATTTTCAAAGTTCTTTCCTCTAACAACCCCTTCTGGGCAAACAGAGTTCCATTAATCATTGATAGACTCAAGGGAAAGCCAGGTGACCAACACTATTTTATTTCCACTGCCCCCACCCTCCCAGCTTCAAGAAAATAAAGCTTCGACATTTGATTAGGCAAGTGATAAACCACTTTTCTCAGAGCAACACGGTGTGCCTAGAGCCACCGTCTCCACGCTTCAGACACTACAATCAATATTTAAAGTGCCACGAAAGAGACTTGACTAGGGCAGGCCAAGGTTTCTCAACCTTGGCACTACTGACACTCCGGGCCTGAGAATTTGGGGGGGTGCAGGGGAGGGGGGAAGCTGTCCTGAGCATTATAGGACATGTAGCAGCATCCCTGGCCTCTACCCTCTAGGTGACAACCAAAAATGTCTCCAGACACTGTCAAATGTCCTCCGGGGAGGGGAGCCTCGTTTAGAAGCGCTGGAACGGGCCTATTTAACTGTTGTATTGAGACTGGACGTTTAACTAGCCCCACCTACACGTGGGTATAGATGTAATGTTTTAGACTGAGATCTGCATGAAGGTTTCTAAAGCCAACCACGTTTGAGAGACCCAATTCTGACAACAAGCACACAAGTTCAGTCCTATGAAGCAAATCATCCCTTTCTGGCCTAAATCCCCAAACCCTCAAGGTTCAGGGTTATGGAATTTGCTGCGTGGTCAGCCTCTTTAGTCTTTTGAAAATGAAATTGTAAGAGCAGAAACGTGACATCGAATTTTGTGCTCTAGTCATAGGAATATGGTGCGGCTGAGTTATATGTCAATTGTTTCTCTGCGGTCATTCCTGAGGGTGCAAAGGACCTTTCTGGCTCATTCCTTTCGGAACAAACCATGTTTACTGACGCTTTTGAAGTATTCTGCGGCTGACGAGAGCCCTCAGGGCAGTAACTAAAAAGGCTGGTTGACATTTCATGGACTTTTTCTAATACAAGAGAGGCTCCAACATTTCCCCGGCTCATCTTCTACATTACTTCATTATTACAGTTATGACCGTGGGCAGACTTTTAATCCTAACAGTGAAACAGAACAGAGGATCAGAATTACAACTACGATTCCCATCACAAGCCGTGTGCAGTACACCCCCAGTTAAGTCGGATTTTAACTGCGGTCAGGTTACTTCACCAGAAACAAAAGTCAAAGACTAAAAGCAGCAGGAGCTGCGAGAAAATCACCAATGGCCAAAACTGACGTCTTTGTCTGGATCAAGGAAAATTTTAGTAAAACTGGGAGAAAAACATCATAGAAAAAATTTTCCTTGCAGACTATAAAAATTCATCTAGTTAAACATAGGGGTATGTATATTTTCAATCACCTTGATCTGAACACCTCCCTCCAAGAAAAACTATCTACATCTTTAAACTGCGGTGGCCTCCTATTGGATGAGAGGAATGTTAAGGTGGCTTTTCCTGGTTCACCGCATTCCAGGTGAGCTCGGCAATCCACTCGCGAGCAACCCTTTTGAAATGGCCTGACTGCATAAGGAGCTTTCCAGTCCTGCAGTCTTACAGAGTGACCGCAGTAGCCACTCTATGGCTCAATGGGAGCACTGACCAAACACGGACAAGGTGGCACCTTAGGACAGAACGTCGCCAGTCTGATTCTAGGAGAGCAGTGTGCTCTAAGCTCTGTGTGGTACCCACCAGCCCATAGGAAAAGCCTCATGGACAAGGAAAGTCCCGTGGCGCTGTAACGAGCCTCTGCCGACACTGGCCATACTTAGCACTTTTATGGTCTCGCTCAGGAAAAGAAGAGGTCGCTGCACCAGAGCAAACATTTTAAATCATTGCTTTATTTTACTATTTGTTCAACAGCAAAGTTCATTCCATTCCTCTCAAGGTGGATCTTGAAGTGTTCCTTTCCTCGTTCTGAATAAAAAAGTAATGAAGAAAAAGCCTGTACTTTTGGAGACCTAGAATCTTGTTTATGCTAAGAAGCTTTTGACTGCAATTTCGTGTTGCAATTATTTCCTGCTGGCATCTCGGTGGTCACACGGAGCTCCCCACCCTCCAGTGAAGATGGCCGCCCACGGCTACCACCATTGAAACCGAAAGTAAGTGGTGAAAAATGCACCTTGTACAATAAAAAAGTAGAAACCAATTCAATTTCCTTTTTTTTTTTTTTTTACGAATATAAAGTTTCTTGTAAATATGTACAGTCTTTTGAGCTAGTTCTATAGCAGGAAGCATTTCACAAATGAGACACAATATACATGTTCGGGGCTCTAGAAGCCCGTTCTCAGTGGAGATCCTAAATGAAATG